TGCATAATCCTTGAGCAAACGTTCTCCATCACCTCTATGAAACGAATATCACTGAAAAGCAAAAGACATTGCTCAATAAAATATATAAGTCAGACTGCATCCAAAAACAGTATGCACAAGTTTACTTCATTTCAAGACCAGAATCAGTTAACAAAAGCTGGTAACCAAATAAATGATGGTAGCCATTGACTTCCATAGTATGGAGTGAAAAAAAAAAAAGGAAGTCAATGGCTACCATCAGCTGTTTAGTTAAAATTCTTCAAAATATCTTAATTTGTGTTCAACAGAAGAAAGAAACTCATACAGGTTTGAAACAACTTGTGGGAGCGTAAATGATGACAGAATTTTCATTTTTAGCCAAACGATCCCTTTAAGGTCAGGGTTTGCATTGAGAATAAAAAAGTGACTTACGATTTGACATATTTGATTGGCGGTGCACCTTTATCATCCAGGAAGCGGTAGTTGGTTTCAATCACTTCTTTTGTTTTGCCAGTCTCTTCAAATGCAGACTTCATCTCAATACTAAGAAATTTGCACACTATAAAAACATACAGAACATATTCAGCATCAGAAGAGGAACAGAAAGCAGCTGTGCCTCAAAACCTAGTGTGCTGCCTACATAGACGGCATTGTTTGTCATTACAGGCCAATTCAAACGTTCCAAACATGCAGCCTACGTAGGCAGCACACTAGGTTTGGAGACACATCCAGAGAGGTCGGTTGAAAAGAGGAAACCTGCTGCTCAGGCCTATTATATTATGTAAAATATGTGTCTGCGATTGCATTAGATGATTTTATCAAGCACTGAAAATAAGCGATCATGATGAATTTAAAACAAAATATTGATTAATTATAAATTAGAACAGTCTAACGTTACCTTCACATTTATTTGGCAGATGCACCCATTCATCGTCTCCGCTTTTGCTTGCAGCTGTGGCACTTACGAGAAACAACACGACGCACATAAAAACATTCATTTTGTTAGTAGGAAATTTGTACAATGTGCAATACTAAAACACCGACCATGTTTATTTATCTAGTCACTATTTCTTCTGACGCTTTCACTTCCGCTGTGGCAGGTTGGCGCAGACGCTGCGCGGAGTGGACCAATCACAGACGCCGATGTGGCAAGAGAGAGCCAATGAGAAACGTGGGCGGGGTCTGGGACATCATGCAGTAGAGATGGTTTGATGTATTTTTAACAGTGCATTTTAAATAAATATGGAAAGGTACGTTTTCTTGAACATTGTAGAAATTCCTCTTATGCAGATCAGGTTCTAGAACACATTTTCGTGTTGATATGACGTAAATAAATAAAATATACCAAAGAAAGTGTTGACGACGCAACCACCAGAGGGCATTACACTCCACATAATTAGATCTTGTCCAGGACCAGGAGTTTAAAATTGCACTCATAAATTAGTATGTCATGTTTACTAATTACTAGCAGTGTTGGCTAATCTTAGCCTGCCAAAGACCCTCAGCAATATTTTATTCACAAGTGTCCCACTGATTTGCAGAGGCATTGTATTCTTATTCCGTCGTGGTAAATCTAATAAATTTGTACTAATAAGATATTTTTTATCTAAGGACGTATTTATTTACTTTTCTAAGATAAGCAATTTTTCTGTCGTGTTGGATCGCCACTTCATGTCCAATGTAAAATCCTGAGCCCAAAGTGAAAGTTGAAGACCACTGTCCTATATTAAAGGACAACAATTTTACATGCATAAAATTGTTTATACACTTGTACACTCATATGCATTTTAATAAGGAATGCCATTGAAATGCAATGCAAATGCACCTCTTTTATCTGATTTTACCCAAACAAACTCATTTATAGGCAGCTCCCGTCTTCAACAGCATTATTTCAAGCGGCGGAGGAGGGAAATTGGATGCGTTCTTTGGTCAGTATGCTGAAGTTTTAACCTGACCACTATTAGTCAGCACTTCCAAGGGCACAAAAAGAAAAAAAAAATCGTAGGCAACATGACTCGCATTTACTTAGAAAAGGCCAAATAGTATAAAACATTATTACAATTTTCAGTAATTAACGATCCCACGTGGATAAATCACTGAAAACTCTGCTCACTTTTCAGTACTGCGGACAATACCATGGTACAAGTTGTGTCAAACTAATATGATTTTTGTACCATAGCATATACACTACTAAGTCGCTTATACTCACCAAATCTTTAGGCTAGTTGATGAAAAATACAGTATAAAAACGGTAATGTTGTGAAAATTTTTTACAATTTAAAATAAAATAACTGTTTTCTTTTTGAGTATATTTTAAAATGTAATTTACCCGTGATGACAAACCTAATTTTCAGCAACCATCACACCGACCTTCATTGTCATATGATCCTTCAAAAATCATTCTAATATATATACCACATGGATCATTTGCACCATGCAATATATCAAAGTGCAACGTATCAAAGTAAACTTTTGACAACTATTGTATGACGATAATGGCATTGTATGGTATTTTAAGGTACTTTTTTATTACTGCCAAAAATCTGGCCTTACTCACTTTACTGTACATCTTATGATGCGGCCAGGAAAGAGTAGAGCACATATCCACATTTATATCTTGTTGGGAAATGGCAAGAAATCAAAGACATCACCAGGGTTATTCAGCTTTATTGAATCTGCATATTCCGCATTCCCTTGAGTTCAGTTTCTGGCTGTCAGAACTACTTTTTTATCTTCATCGTATGTTCACACATTTCCAAGGAGAAGTAGAAAGTGGTAAGAATCATACAAGAGGAGCATGTATTTCATTCAAGTGTTTACATAAGCATTTACAGCACCTTGCCAAAAGTAATCAGGCCTTGACCAATTCTGTCATGTTACTGGATTACACAGTCCTACATTGCAATTGTGTCCTTTGTGTGGTTTCATTTGAAAGCACTGAAACAAATTTCCTAAAATGTGACATTGTTTTGTTGCGTTCAGTCCCTGCATAGTAATATCTTGGAACCTTTTGCAGCTGATAGAAACACTCAAAAATGTTAACCCAGTGCCATTAAGACATTAATATTTTATTGAACTTTTTTTATATAAATGCCACATCATTATATATTTTCAAACTGATTAGCTATGCTAATTTTTAGATTATTTGTGCCCCTTCACCACTTTTTATTTATATTTTCCGACACAATGTAAAATTACAATAATTTCTAATTACAAGTTCAATGTCATATTTATAATAGAATAAAATATCAGAGTTGGTAAAATGTCTGAATATTTTTCCAAGGCGCTGTACATGGTTTGTCAGCATTCATCATCGCAGAGCAGGGGGATGTCTTATTCGATGCATGTCCCTGGACATCTCCCCCATACCTGATTATAATATGCTAATTAATATTCACATACAGTAAAAAGTAAGCAGTCAAAGAAAAAGAAAACAGCTCCAAAACATTATAATAGTATAATGTATAAATAATGTCTGTCTAGACTAAAACAGTCTTGAAATTAAATCATTTGTACATGCTATTTGAAATACAAAAATAAGATTTCAGTCATGTTAGATTCTAGCATAACTTCAGCCCTCCGGGTGCATAACAAGAGTAATATCACACTATGATGTGCACATATCATAGCACTAAAGTGAAAAACCTTCACCGCATGAATGCCAACCGCTCACTGATAAGGAAAAAAAAAATCCTGTTCCACCAAGAGGATGATATCCTTAAACATACACATCTCCATATGAGATGTGTTTCTTTCTGATGTACACTTGCCAACGAGAACTTTCTCTAAAAATGTAATATATGAAATGACAATGCTTCCGATCACATTGGTGATAGAGTTGAGTTTTGAATTGAATGGCATGAATTGGTTGACTGCTGTGGTTTAGGGTTAAAATCAACATGAAACCGCACTCATAAACTATTTTACTAATATATTTGTTTAATCTATTCATTGTAAAAATAAATAAATAAATGTAATAAATAAAGTGGGATGGGACTTGGTTTTATCCATGAAGGTCAAGTTTACCTTCCCCAATAGCATCCTAGTAGTAACACTATTCAAATATATTAATTATTTGCTATTATTTTGCGTAACCTTTTTAAAATGAACTTTAACCAGCATTCAATTACTGCACTAACAATTCGATAATAAAATGTTGAAATGACTAATTAATATTAACAGCCTGCACAGACTACATAACATCAAACAAAAAGAAAAGTTGTTTTAGACCAAAAAGACAAACATTTTTATCTTTGGACTAACATGCGTTGATTAAAGGGGTCATATGATGCTGCTAAAAAGAACATTATTTTGTGACAATGACTGGAATATGTATTAAGAAAATAAAAAGTCAAATTTGATATTATTTATGGATAGTTCACCCAAAAATGAACTTTTACTCACCCTCATGTCGTTCCAAATCTGTATGACCTACTGTCTTCTGTGGAACATAAAATAATATATTTTGAGATATGTCTTGTTCATTTTCACATTTCTGTGGTTCTTAGAAGTGGAAATCGTCATAGTTGGGTAAACTTCTATAGTGGTGAATGGAAACTACAATAAATATAATTTTTGCATTTCCATCTGCAGCAATAGTAAAAGAAAAATCCACAATAGTGATTCAATGACTTTCCAAAAGAGGAAAAAATATTGAGAGACTGATTACGTTGGTCAGAATAAAGAGAAATGTCAGATTTGCTGTCACTCCCTCAGCTGTTGTATTAGAAGCAGTCACGCAGCAGTGTTAGCTAGTTTTATGTAATTCAGTGCCAGGGTAAGAAAACACAGTGTTATAAATGTAAAATGAATATGAAAATGAAAATATAAAAACGTTGCTAGATTTATGATGTTAATAACTGTGGAAACACATCATCACAATCTGTGAAAATGGTCTATAGAAGTCATTGATAACAAACGAAAAATAAATCATACAGGTTTAGAATGACATGAAGGGGAGTAACTATCCTTTTAATAATGTGATGTAATGAAGACACAAAAATGCAACCTGGTTTGCGTTTGTCTGCTCTGCTGACTATGGCACTTTTCTGTCCCTTCTGCATCTCTTGTCGTCCATCATTTCATTTACTCATCTCATCTGTCTTGTAAATGACCTTCGATTTGGTTAAATCCCAGAAAGAAATATTGAAACAAATATTGCAGCAGCAAACAAAAGAACAAACAGAAGAATCGGTTGTGGTTAAGGTAATAGTTATTGATATCATCACTGATTATTGTTATTATCAAAGTGCTGTACAGTACATACTCGCAATACTATAGCTGCGTGGTCACCGAATCGTCCTGCTCCGTTACCCAGTGGGAGGAGTCTGGCGTTTGTCCGCCACAGGGCCCGACCAATCCCTGGAACACGTCCTCATTTGAGTCCAGGAGGCGGGAGCTGTAGGCGGAGAAACTGGAAGCACAGTGCAGGGAAGAGGGTGGGGACAGAGGTCCTAATGTCAGTAAAACATCCCTCACGTTAGCTCTCTGTCCATTTGTTGTCATGGCATTGTCGCCCTCATTTAAAACAGCCACATCCACCTGATTAAGGTTGGTCTCGCTGCGGGTGACTGGACCATCACCCCTAGTGAAGCCCAAGTCATGCCAAGCCCCCGGCGGTTGAAGCAATCCATCTGAGATAGTGTAGGTTGCAGCAGTAACACCTGCAGGCTGTGGAAGGTGGCTGCCCATGCGTGAGAACAGCAGCCCGAGCCGTCTGAAGGAGTTTTTCTTGGAACTAGAGAAGCGTGAAAAGCGCCTCCAAGTTCGTGAAAGTGCAGGTCTAGCTGCAGCCACTGAGGACAGGGAAGAGGAGGGTGAGGGGTTCTTCCTCAGTCCGTTGATCTTTGGTTTACCCTCCCTGTATGCAGACGATGCCGCTGTTGTCGATGTGGCCACCTCCATTCCGGAGATGGAGTGAAAGAGGGCGGAGACTCCGTACGATGGATCCGAAGGTGTAATGGTTTTGAAAGACACACCTTTGGCCCCGATGCTGCTCCCATCGCTGTGGTGACAGGCCTCGCCATCGTCACTGAGCTCGTCTCGAAGCGTCGCCTCACTGCTGGAGGAATAGTTCCGTCGGGGCGGCTTTCGGTTGCCTAGAAGGTCCAAAACCTCATAGCGGAAACTGGAAATGTCCTGTTTCAGCTCCTACAGCAGAGCATTATTACAGAATTACACAATGCATTCGAAAAATATCCTCAATTTTACCACACCAGAAATGACAGATTCTAAGACGTTTCATGACAAAACTTGATCACAACAAGTCAGAATATTTTTTTCAGAACATATTTGATGTACTGTAATTAGAAACCAGATTTTAAACCACCTGAGATTTCACTGTGGGTGGAGAAAAAAAAAAATCTAAAGGACTGGAATGGATTGATTTGATTGTTGTTGCTTCATGTATTAACTGAATGCAATGCAATAATAAAGTAAAAAAAAAAAACATTTCATTAACTGATATAATGTTAACAAGTAATAAAATTGTGACTTAATATATATAATATACTGACATCCACCTGAGAACACTGAAAGTTACATGAAAGTTCATCACAAGCAGCTTTTCCACAAGCACACTTATACACACAAATACAAGACACCATCATAGAAACACATGACACTAAAATAATGCAATAAACATTAATGTAATAACATAAGATGTAACAAAACCCTAATGAACATAAGGGATAAAAAATAAGAAACACAATTATTTGAAATGAAAACCATGTTAATCAATGTAAATAAGATGACATGTTCTTTCTCGCTTACAAAAACTATACTTTTAACAGTATTTTACTGTAAAAGTCTATTACAGCATATTTTACAAAAATTTTATTTTATATTAAAATTACCATAATTCTCTCTCTCTCTCTCTCTCTCTCTCTCTCTCTCTCTC